GTTTTGTATTTCTAACCAATACGCTGTGTTACAGCTCACCTATGAATGAGCTAAAGGAGTACACAAAACACCTGATAATCTGGTTTTGTATTTCTAACCAATACGCTGTGTTACAGCTCACCTATGAATGAGCTAAAGGAGTACACAAAACACCTGATAATCTGGTTTTGTATTTCTAACCAATACGCTGTGTTACAGCTCACCTATGAATGAGCTAAAGGAGTACACAAAACACCTGATAATCTGGTTTTGTATTTCTAACCAATACGCTGTGTTACAGCTCACCTATGAATGAGCTAAAGGAGTACACAAAACACCTGATAATCTGGTTTTGTATTTCTAACCAATACGCTGTGTTACAGCTCACCTATGAATGAGCTAAAGGAGTAAACAAAACTGTTCTTCGCCTTGAGAGAAAATGCAAAAAGTATAAAGAAATGATTACAAGATGACATTCAATAGCATAATTCAAGATTTTCATTATTTTGTGACCTTGTGTTAAATTTTTCATCAGTATTCAAATACAGGTAATTTGAAATCAAAATGAGTTCAGACACACCTTCGATGATTTTGACCAAAATCATTTCAAACTGAAACCGTAAGTTTAAGCAGTTTCTTAACTTAAATCGATGGGAATTAAAAATAATCTGTTTCCAATTTTTCTTCATTTGAGCATCATGGATGTACCGTTTCATTAGGAATATACTCGGTTTGAAGTAACCCCATTCATTTTTCATTTAGTCTACAACTAAAATGCCATCCTATGAAATAGCATCATACACTTTCATTATGTTCTTTCAGCATCTTTCGATTCCTTGCTCGTATATTTGGAACATACGGTTAAAACAGCTTAATGTTGGAACAAAGGTAACATGCCTTGACAAAACAACATCCGTACTGTACAGAAACACAATAATACATCATAGCTAGAAATTGTGAAATTCAGTGTAATAAGAAACACTACCAAATGGATAAATACATATACTACGGTATTAATCATTATTAAAACCTGTTTGGTGAGAATATAGAAGAAATTTGTCAATTATATATGAAGAATATTAGACATTTTAAGCCACGAATTATCGACATAATAAGAGCTTGAAAATACAAGGATTTTAAGAAAATTTAAAGATGGCCTGACGACTGTAAATAATTAAGACAATATAATGTCATGTGTATGAAATGGTTAATTGTGAAAGGAAATGAATTATAAGTTAGTAAGAATTATGCATTGTGGAATTGGTTATTAATAAAATAGGGAAATATGCATAAATAAATGGTGTATCTTGATATAAGTTAGACAGTTTCAATGCTTTTTTTTTTTATCAAGACGTGTTGAAAGGATATTTATAAAATGTAATAATCGAATTTATAATTAGGCGAAAAGTTATTGTGATAATATATATTTATTCCGGTAAATGTATGGTTACCTCAAGATTTCTGTCCTCATATAAAGTCATGGGCTTACAATGCTAAAAACCGGGTTTCGATACCCGTGGTGGGCAGAGCACAGATAGCCCATTGTGCAGCTTTGTGCTTAACATACAAGAAAGAAAAAACAGAACACGTGTGAAATTTATCTGAAAGGTTTTGACTTTTAAAAAAATCTAAGCTTTCTGAAGTTGTTCATTGATCTTATTTATACTGTCCTAATCTTCGGGTCCCCTGGTTGCACCTCGGAAAATCTGTAAGCTTATAAAGCTAAAGATGGGTTTTGGTACCTGTGATGGGCAGACCACAGGTAGCCCATTTGTAGCTTTGCGCTTAACAACAAACAAACCTAAACTTGGGAAAACATGATACTGTAATCAATGAAGAAAATACTATTAGGCGTGGCTGATATTAGGTAAGCGTTACTCTTACACAAGATTCATACATTTGCTCTAAATGTGGAAGCTTAAAACAACCGATTGCTTACAAGAACAGTGGAAAATATAAGTCATAATTTATTACCATTTTATTTTAGAAAATATAACAACAACTTTATGTTACTGAACTATTCAACTCATTTTAATAATTATTAATTAATATCATAAACCTAATGGTTCTACAAGCGATATTACCTTGTTTGTTAGATACGGAGGGGGCGTCCAGAGTTCTCGCCTGAAGAACCTTCGGTGGACTTCTCCCTCTCACATTGACAGAATAAATAAAAAGTATAAATGATGTACCAGAAGGAAGAGAATGGACTATAAAGAAAGGTGCATCTGATGCAGAAATATTCTTTTGCAGTTCTTTGTTTCTTTTGTTATATACTTCAACCTGAAAATGTTGCGATAATCCCCCGTCTTTGCCAGGAGAGCATCGAACAATGAATGTTTCTCTCGTTTGGTTTATGAGCTGGCAGTTTTTTGGCGCCTCGGGAGGAGCTCCAAGAAAGAACAAGAAAAGTGTTATGTGTGAACATCTTTAACGGATCACTGCTTACATCAAGGAAACAATAAAATAGAAAAGTAGTCATACACATAACTTTTATGTTTCCAGAGGATTTAATATATCCTAAAGAAAAATGTATTTGAACAAATATATACGTTATTTCAGGGCGCCTGAGCGACTCCAATCCATTGATGTTTCAACAGAATAGGTGAGGCTTAATTATCATGTTTTGATATTGAATAATATATATATCATCTACATAAATTTAGTCAACATAGATATTTATAGGTAAAAAAAGAATATTTCAACACTAAAGTAAGTATTAACATTAAAAGGAAGGACTGCGTTAAGAACAACGAGCCCAAACTTGTAAGGAAACGAACATTTTAATTATCCAAACAAGCTTTAATAACTACAAAAAAACGCGTAGTTTGAGTGTAGTTGTTAAAGCTTGTTTTAATGATTTATATGCATGTATATATAGTTTGATACGTGCATAATTTGTTAATACAATACCACATCTTATATTTCTCAGCAATCCTCTTATTTAATTGTTTAACCCGGTGCAAATGAGTAAATGAAAATGTCAAATCAAAATGCAAATGCTCATTAGCTTGTTGGGTTCGTGGTTATTTTGTCGACTTGAAATAAGGGTACAAAACATATGCATGAATACATGTTATACATGTCATAATCATTCATTATCTACAATAATAAAGCTCTAAATGATCTGTGTGAAAAAGGACTGTAAAAATAGTTCGTAACTGCCAATTAATTATTACGAACTGTTCCGAAATTATATAAAAATAAATTATTTAAGACCTTCAACATTCGTACCTTTTAGAAGTTCTTAGAGTAGATATACGTAACCATGTAAATCCCAAATGCGATTCTACCCTAGATTATATGAAAGTTAGGCCAACAGTAAAGAAGAGGGAATCCTCAATAGCCACGGCACTTGAAATTCTTTTCCAGGATTAGAATAAATCAGATCTCAAATCGGTCAAGAGATGATGGAGCTATGAGCTAAAAGTTTGTTTGTGAAAATACAAAATTGAAAAAAACAAAACTCAGAGCCGTTCTATGAGCCGCTATGCCGCGGTTAAAAACGTAATAAGATCTATAATTGCTAATATAATATGATCATATACTAGTTGAAGTAGAAAAGATGATTTTGTAATAAAATAAGTCAGTTCATGCTTTTGGGATTTATGAGCTAGTAACGAGATTCTGTAATTTTTACCTCCTGGAGTGACTACGAACTGACAAGGGTTATTTTGTTCTCCAATTCTGTTCTTCGCCCAACACAGTAGTGTTCCATAATCCATTTCAGACTGTGGTGAAAATAGGGCCATACTAGATGTTTGGTTTTGAGAAAACGTATTTAAAGATAGAACGCCAAAACTATTATTCAGCGACCAACGAAATTGAACTTCAGAGGGTTGTGCAGTAACTTCACATGTTACCCTAATACTAGATCCAATGAGAACCGCATACTCCCGAGAATTTACTTCCTTACACACTGGGTGATCTGAAAATATAATTCGAAGCTCAGCGATTTACCTCCAAGTAAACCATATGGTTGTATGCATACACTTGTAAAGAAAAAAAGTTGTTTAGATTGGAGACAGTGAAATGTCGAAAGTAAAAGACATAGGTACTGAAGTTTTACTCTTCTGAACGAGTGATATTTTTTTACTTATTAATTTTAAAATTATAGAATTACAAAAGTATGTGACTAAAACAACAATTACAACTAAAAAAAAAAGAATACAAATGAAAATATTATTTTAAAAAATAGCACAGATTATTTTTTTCTTGTTACATAATCGATAAGTTTAAACATCAACTGTTATAGAGATGATCTGTTTGATAATGTTGAAACTTGTTAAACTCACAGTTCACTCCCAAAGATATTTCTTCGCTCCAACCTTGTCCCTCCTTATTTGCAGCAACACACTGAAATTTCCCTCTGTGACTTATCTGTACACTTTTAATAGTCAATGATTGCTTTGTGACAATAACCCCTAACCTTCCATCGGAATGTATTGTTGAACCATTAAAAAGCCACCAGACATCAAGTTTTGGCGGGTTAGCGTCAACTTTACAATTTAGTGAAATTTCACTGCCCTCTGTTACATCGTGGAGGTCCGTTAGATTTTGTGGAATAATTTTTACTTGAGGAATGTCTGTGAATCAGAGATAATAGAGGTATAATAATAATAATATATATATATATATATATATATATATAATAGAAATATATAACAAAATTCCTAACCAGATAAAGCTTAAATTTATTTTCCTTTCTTGATTATTAGACACTGTTACAGCTCATGTCTACATACACGTATATGTCATCCAACTAACTTTTTAAGATATCTTAATACACATTTACGACTTTAAATTCATGGACTAATGAGCTTTTAGGTCCCCAAATATTGAATCATCAAAACAGTCAATGTAATAGTTTAGTATGTTATTCTTAACAATTTTTTATGAATTTCCATTTAGAATATCAGCAAGCTTGCTCGTCATTAAAATCTTTCCCAATGTTATCATTTAGAGATATCAACGAATTTCATTTCATTTGACGTTCAAGCTAATTCAACCTAATTTCAATAGTGCACCGAAATGAAGGTTTATTTTGAGATAATCTAATTAAATATTTCAATCCATTCGTGTTATTCATAATTCAAGAAAAGATATTTGATTGTTGATCAGGAGTAAAAGGAAAGACCATTTCATTTTCTAAAAAAGTGAAGTCAGAGTTTTCAGGTATTGTGATGAACAAACCTTATTCACAGTTGATTCAAAATGCCTGAAAATAAGAAATACCAGATAATAGTAATGTTATTCATGGTTTGTTAGAACGTAATTGCTATCAAAAAACCAAAAAAAAATGCAATTTCAGAAAAACATTTCATACTTACTTGCTCAAATTACTGCAAGAAACAGCACAATTTGATAACTGATACACTATGAAATTTACCAAATGAAAAATCTTTCCCACTGTCTCATAGCAAATGATTTTTTGAGTTAGAAAATTTTCTAATTTTCTTACCTACCATAACTGAGGCACATTATTGTGAAATTCTTCAAGATCTTGTTTTTGTCATCTTACTCCTTTTAATGAAGATGGGAACATTGTCAGGGAAATAGTTTTGAACGAAAAAGTTTCGTAAAGAGCGCGAATGGAAGTGATGAGTAAAATTACTCATGCTAGAAAATTTTCATAAAAGTGACCCGAAAAACGGCGCCAACTCGGTAACCCGTGGCCCGATTTTAACGAAACTTGTTTTATTCTATTTCTATTCTCATTCTAATATTCCATTCATATTTCTATTCTATATTTTGCGTGGTTTTTTTGTGGTATTTAATTACAGACAAGCAAACAAACAATCTCAGAGTTTTAGTAGTATATAGATTAATCTATGAGACTTGGGCGTGGTCAAGTACTTCAATCGAAAGGGTTCGATCTCCTGAGTTCAGAACTGAAATTATATCTCAAATCAGTCAATAAATGAAGGAGCAACTGGTTAAAAGTTTGTATTTGAAAAAAACAAACCAATAAAACTCAGAGTCATTCTATGAGCCACTATACTATGGTTAAAAATTATAATGTATTGTGGTATTAATAACTGATTATTTTAGTCATATTTGATACATTTTGAGTAAAGTAAGCGTTCATGCTAGCCTTAAGAAAGAAGAATGAAATTGCCTAATATGGATTGGTTTCTAGGGTAACAATTTATGAAAAAACAGAAAACCCTTACTTACAGTAAACTTCCAAAGTGCGGACGTCAGATACAACACTGTCCTTTAGAAGTGAATTATCTGCTCGACATGATATATTTTTCGCATTATCTTTAGCTTCAGGGATAAATGTGACAGTGCTGACAGTCAGGTTATTATCTGGGGACAAAATATCTGTTACCGACGTTAGTCGATCCACCCCTTTCCACCAGGTGATTTCAGCGGGAGGCCTGGCACCCCATGTTTCGCACACAAGCTCCACCACACGGCCGGCAGAAACGGGTCTACTGGGTGTGATGATTTTGGCATCTAAAGGCTTCACTAGACAGTCAGAAAACAAATATTTTCAGAGTAAACTACTAAGGTGAAGATGAAAGACACATAAAAATTTTAAAATATTGAAATTGATAATGCTTTGAAGAATAATAACATAATTATTTGGGAAATAAAAATATGTCAAGGAATACACTGATATCTATGAAAAATAAAATCATATTAACTTTATTATATCTTTCTTTGAAATTCATTAACAAATAAATATGTGTATTAACTTTTTATGTCCAAATGATGAACTTAAAGTTTTAGTGTAAAAACTTCTAAATATCATACTACGACAAAGCACCTGATGTTGATAAGGATGTTAGCTTATATAATATTAGCAACATGGATATTTAACCACTTATGTTTCAAAGATATGGTGAAGTAACATAGCATGTTAATTTTATTTAAATATGAAACTTTACAGCGAAATCGAAACGACTATAAAGATTTTGTTTTCAATGATAAATTGAAATAGCTTAAATACTTTTATAGAATGGTCGAGTTTTCTAATCCTCATAGTATTTTGGCAAATATAGATACGTGTAAGAAATCACGTTTCTTTGTTCTTTTTTTTTTCTGAGAAAGGACTACTGCATATTTTAAATTTTGAGAATATGTATTGCAATATTGCATAGATAATTCCTGTACAGATTAAATTGTGTGTGTGATGGAATAAGTCGAACTTACTTTGAGGGCAGACATACCAGAATATAGAATATAAAATCACTACTACTAAGTTTTCTAAATGGCCTTTAGGCCTTGAATGAACAGATGTTTAGGGCGCTCGACTCACAATCTGTAAATATAAAGCCTTTAGGCCTTGGATGAACAGGTGGTTAAGGCGTTCGACTCACAATCTGCAAGATATAAATTCGTTGCCGAACATGTTCTCCTTTTCAGCAGTGTCCATTATAATGTTTCGGGTAATTCCATATTCGTTAGTAAAGATTAGTCCAAGTGGATGGTGTAAATTGCATGTAAATTCAACAAACAAACAAGTAGAATCTCATTAAACGACTAATGGGAATGCGATTTAGTTTCGAAATAAAGCTGTAATGTTTAAAGTTATTTTCTGATTTGTGATTTTAATTTATGAAAAATATATTGGCTCTTATGTAGACTTACCAGTGTAAGTAGAAAAAAGTATCCAACGATAGATTAAAAAATATTTTTTTATTTTGTTGTTGTTTTTTCATTTTAAGAGAAAAAACTAAAGTTCATAGAACTCGGATTAAGATAAGTAACAGGCAACATCTGATGTCCAACAGGTGTTAAGCCATTACAAAACATTTCATCAGTTATTAGTGTATAAACTTTCCTTATGAAATTTCTATTATGTTTTAATTGTGCTTAAAACACATTCGCCTTATAACTAGGTATATTTTACATGCACACAAGAGGACCTACCTGAGACATTTACTTCAATATCATGAAAGGGAATTTCTACAAAAGTTTTGATTAACGAGTAAAGATATGTGGTGATTATTAACTTGTATAAAACTTGTGGTCTAATAATGTTTAGTTTATAATGGATGAAATATAAAAACTTGTGTTTCATAGAACAAATGGTGGATGTTTAACAACTTAGCTTCGTAAACTATAATATATTCAATGCATTGATGCATGCACTTTTATAGAAACGCTATAACACAATTTAGGATGCCGTAATTAGTAATCAAGGACATCTTTTCACACATGAAGTAATTTGAATAATTAAGAACGACATATTCTAGCGTAATCAAATCATACATAATTACAACTTGTAAGGTACGATACTTTCACAGCACCCTGTACTTATCTATTCTAACAATGAAAAAAATACATTAAATTAATACAAAACTCAATTTATCTTGAAAGTTTACAATAATTAATTACTAACTTCTGAACAGATATTTTCGGTCCATACAAACCCCTTTTTACGCTCCAGTAAAAAGATGGCAGAAGATTTATTGCAGAAAACTAGCTTTAAACAGTAAATTTAAATTAAATGTCCAAGATAAATATTACTATTATTTTCCAAGGAATGTCTTATTTATTATAAACTAAATCTTGTTTTTGACGTAGTTGTTTTTTTCGTAATTCTTAATCTTTTTATGTTGTTTTTAGTGAATATTTCTTTTCAACATTGTTTTTACCAGAAAAGACTTTTCACAAGGCATTTTATTTATTCAAAAACTAAAAACTCGACCAATTCTCATTTTCTCTTTATCTATTGACATTTCTTAATTATTAAGGTTGTTAGGGGCGCTCGGATCGCAATCTGCGGGTTGCGAATTCGAATACACGTCACCAAACATACTCGCTCTTTCAGCTGTGGGGACGTTAGACTATGACGGTCAATCCCAATATTTGTTGTTAAACGAGTAGCCCAAGAGTTGGCGGTGGTGTTGACTAGCTGCTTTCCCTCTAGTCTATCACTGCAAAATTAGGGAGGACTAGTGCAGATAGTCCTCGAGTAGCTTTGCGCGAAATTCAAGACAAACCAAATTTAATTCTAAACATACATTTAGTTATTAAATTATGAGTAGAAAACCACTTTAGTAAATATCGCATTTTACTGGTGAACCCAAGAGTGGACGGAAACAAAATATGATGTATTGTTGTTTCAAGTGTAAAACAAATACTCACATACCTTATTTAATGACTTGATATAATATATTACACGATACTACCACATCATGCCAGATATAGCAAACAGTACCACATGATGTCAGATACTGCAAACAGTACCACATGATGTCAGATACTGCAAACAGTACCACATGATGTCAGATACTGCAAACAGTACCACATGATACCAAATATTATACGATACTACCACATCATGCCAGATATAGCAAATAGTACCACATGATGCCAAATATTATACGATACTACCACATCATGCCAGATATAGCAAATAGTAGCACATGATGTCAGACACTGCAGACAGTACCACATGATGCCAAATATTATACGATAGTACCACATCATGCCAGATATAGCAAATAGTACCACATGATGTCAGATACTGCAGACAGTACCACATGATGCCAAATATTAAACGATAATATCGCATGATGTCAGATGTGCAGATAGTACCATATGATGTAAGATTTAACAATGTGCTTTTTATTATAGTAATTAAACATTCATTTACAAAAAAAATTCATCTGTTTTATTCAATCATTCTTGAATTTGAAAAAGAGAAATGCAACATTTGGTTCCTGATACTTTATTAAGTTTGTGAAATTTGTAAGTATTAATATAATATCTGGATTTGTCGGGTAACATTCATTATTGAATCATCGGGTGATAACGAAACGAAATACATATTCCAACGAGCTTTGAACATCCTACTAAAAAATTAGTAGCTTATATGATAACCTAAGTTTAATTACAATCAGTAACTGATTTGTAATACCTAGACATTAAAGGCTAATTAATTTTTATCCTACATGACATTTACACTGAAAGACCTACCCGATTTTTTTTTCAAAATAACAAGATAAAATTCGATCAAGAATTTTGAGTGACTGTAAATTAGCTAAAATAAATAATTAGCTCATCTTCCTTCATGAATGCAGACAACGATAACGAATTTTCGAAAGGACTTAAGGTTAAATTACCTATCAACACCCTACTTCTCAAAGGCTGACTCAGAAACTTAATAAAGTCATGCTCTAAGGTAGAATAAAGTATCACCACATAAAACAAAAATGATACAGATTATCATTAATCTTATGTGTCAGAAGACAGAGTTTAGAACTGGTACTATCCTGATACGCTTAACTCTTCAAACTTATTACTCACACAAACATGTACATGCTAAATAACTTCAAATCAATAAATTACATTTATTCACCTATTATTAATAATAAGAAGCCTTCTAAACACGATGGTTGCATCTAAACGCACAGTAACAAGCTTTAGTAAACAACCATTAACAGTAACTGGAAAAGAAGACACAATTTAGAGCATACAAGAAGCAGAAGAAATAAATAATGAATTTGGAATCAAAATAAAGACAGAAGTCCATAAATTCACGAAATGGAAACACCACTATAATACCACGAAATAAAAAAATACTCTCCTCAAATCTTTAAGAAATAAATCACAACAATTCTACCAGCACATAAAGGGAAAGTCATTGTATTCATGTATAAGCAGAAATACTCCATTAAGCTCTATTTTTCAGTTAAAGATGACCACTACATAAGGTCAAGTACAACGAAACTGCTAATAAAAAGAAGGAAATTGATCTGAAGAACTATTAGAACTCAACCAAATGACAGTCTGAAACACTTGATAATACTACCAGCCGAAATGCAGGATAAAAAATACTTGGAACAATTGATAATATTAGCAGCCGAAATGCAGGATAGAAAATGCCAGGAACAGTTGACAATATTAGAGACCCATACGTAGGATAAACAATATCTGGAAACTTAATAATATTAGCAGCCGAAATGCAGGATAACAAAAAACAAGAACGCTTGATAATATTAGCAGATAAAACGCAGGATCAAAATATACCTAGAACGCTTGATAATATTAATAGCCGAAACGCAGGATAGAAAATACCCGGAGCACTTCAAAATATTAGCAGGAGAAATGCAGGATAGAAAACAAACTAGTAATTAGTATTTAGTTATTAGAGAAGTGAATAACACTTAATTAGATTTAGCTTGTGAAATGTAAGAACGATTGATAAAATATAATTAGAATAAGGGTACAAAATATAAGAGTGACTGGTAAAATGAATAACAATATTTAGGTTATAAAACGTAAGAACAACTGATAAATTTTAATGATTAGATTTAGTTTACAAAACCTAAGAACGATTGATAAAATTTAATAATCGGAGTTAGGTTACAAAACGTAAGAACGATTGATAAAATTTAATAATCAGAGTTAGGTTACAAAACGTAAGAACGATTGATAAAATTTAATAATCAGAGTTAGGTTACAAAACGTAAGAACAATTGATAAACTTTAATAATGAGAGTTAGGTTACAAAA